CGTTCGCCAAGACGTGGGCCAAGACGCTGAGCCATCACGCAACGTACTGACACGGACTTTTTAAGCACGGTACGATTTGCGTCTCAAAACGGGCGTGTTGAGGCAGTTACGGTAGCCTGAGGGGTGGTCGAGGAGTGGGTACACGTCGTTCATTTCTAATCGTGCTCATTTCAAATAATGTTCGTTTCTAATTGTTCCTGGCCCCCTAGTGGCCAGGAAGAGAACCAGGATAGAACAATTAGAAATGAAAGGATCTTGGCCCCCAAAAAATCGAATAGCTTTTGAAGAATTTGAAATGAATAATGTGTAGGGATCTCGACGCGGCGCTCGCTGCTTCGATGCCCTGGCTGCTGCCACTGCTCACCCGCTCTCGGCGGGGCTCTGGCTCGAAGGCTCGAGGTCTCCGCTGAAGGCGCTGCTCCGCTTTGCCACCGCGCAAGGTCGGGGGCGCGGCGTTTTGCAGTTGCGTAGTCTCGGGGAAGACAAGCATGGATCCACGCGCGGGGATTACGGTCGGACCTAGTACAGAAGAGCACCTTTCAAGAACATGAGACTCTCCGCCAGCCCAAACACCCCAAACCAGAAGGCCACTCAAGGGCACCCTCCCCCAGGATGCGCAGGGACATCCAGCAAACACAAAAAAACATGTGGGTACCTTTCCCGAACCCACCTCGATCTTAGACCTAGGTCCGACCCTAGCGACGTTACCATACCAAAGCAGCGTGCTCGATCATCGAAGCGGGCGGCACTGGCGCCATGCTTCGAGGGCTACGTTCCCTGGTCCGTGGATCTGCCGATCACGCACCAAAGCCACCGACCTCAAATCCATCTCACCGTGCGCTCGATCATGTGACTTCAGCTTATAGCATGTTGTCCAGCTAAAAAAGGACATCACCCCAGCCCGACACAGATCTCAAGGACCACCTGCCTTTAGGGGTCCTCGTGGTTGTTAAGGGCGACGCGCATGGGCAACACGTTCGCCCCAAACCTTTCGAAGATGTGCCCGGGGCCCCTTTAGAGGATGTGGCGTTTTGCTCGACATCAAGGCACGTGATACTGCACTTCGAGGACGATGGTGGTGAGGACGAGGAAGGAAATTCTGATGGTGGTGGCGACGATGACGATGATGATGGCGATGTCAATAAACAAGGGGAATAAATAATGGTAATAATACTCATAAAAATCTGACGACTGTACATAATGAAATTGCTAAATCAGAAGAATCATAATTACATACGTTGATGTTGATGGCGGTGCCGAATGTGGCGCTGATGGCGTCGATGATGATGAGGGCGGTTATGATGATGAAGGCGATGATGACGATGATGATCACAACGATGATGATGACGGTGTTGACGATGATGTTGGTGATGGCGATGATGCGAATGATGATGTTCATCGTGCCACTTACCCTGGCCAGAAGACTCTTTTGTGTTTCGGACCACGCAGGTCCGACGAACAGGGGGGCACCTGGGCTGCGCTCGGCGGAACGAGAGAAAGAAACACAACACAGCATACATGAACGATGAGGAGAGGAAGAGACATGTGTATATTCATTTAGAGAGAGATAGAAAACAAAACAAACAAACAAAAACGGAGCGCGCGGGCACAGAAAAGGCTTGAGCCGTGGCCGTTGCAGATTCGCAAGCTCGCAACCGCACGGCCTTCAAACGCTCTACGATTATAACTTAGCACGGCTTAAAGGCCTTAGTAGCTGTTCCTGGCCTGGTCATAGACGTACATATACATACATATATCATACATACATAAATCATATATACATGTGTACATATACGTATGCATATATATGTGGATGTATGTTTACATATATATACATATATATATATACATATATATATATATATATATATATATATATATGTGTGTATCACATAATATGTATGATAACATTATAGTACATATTACATATATATATACATGCATACGTGTATAAACATGTAGCTTATGCATACGTCTAACCATGTGGTGTCATACAGCAGCAAAGGGGAAGGAGACGGAGGAGGAGGAAGAGGAAGAACATGATGAGGATGTTTGCCGACGCTGAGCCGATCTTGTTCGCTTGCAACTCCGACTGCCGCCAGCTTCCAAAGAGGCATGGGTGTCCGCTGGAATTGAACGCCCCCTATTCGGGCGCAGCCGCCTTCTTCGCGCCCTTGCGCTGCCGCCCTGGGGAACGGCGCCCTTTCGGCCCAAGCCGCGAAGCGCGCGGCGCGATGATCTTCGCGCCCGATCAGGGGGGGGGCTCAACTCCAACGGACACCCTCGCCTGCGTCGACCTGCCGCAGCCCCCCCTCAAGCCGCTCAAGCCTTCTTCCTGGGCCTCTTCATAGGCGGGGGTGCGGCGCCGCCATCCGCCGCCTTGCTGCTTGCGGCGTCGGCTGTGCCCTCTGCCGCTTTGCCGACCTTGAGGGCCTCCCTGGCCTCCGCGATGAAAGCTTTCCTGGCCTCTGTGTCGTGAGGCACGGCCGCGAGGACGCCCTGGCGGCCGGCCGATGTGTGCCCGACGCTATCCCGGATATCCCTACTCCTCCTCCTCCTCCTCCTCCTCCTCCTGCTCCTCCTCCGCCTCCGCCTACTCCTCCTCCTCCTCCCCCCTTTCCTCCGCTCCCTACTCTTCTCCTTCTCCTCCCCCTCCTCCTTCTCCCCACCCTCCTCCTCCTCCTCCTCATCCTCCTCCTCCTGTCCTCCTCCTCCTCCTCCTCCTCATCTGCCTCCTCCTCCTCCTTCTCCTCCTTCTCCTCACAGTCGTCGTCTTTTCCTCCTCCTTCTTCGCCTCCTCTTCCTCCTCCTCCTCCTACTCCTACTCATCCTCATCCTCATCCTCTTTCGACTCCTCATCCCCCTCCTCCTCCTCATCATCATCCCCTTCTTCTTTCTCCTCCTCCTCCTCCTCCTCCTCCTCCTTCTCCTCCTCCTCTTTCTTATCTCTTATCTGTATTCCTCCTCATCCGCCTACTCCTCCTACTCCTACTCCTAATCCGAGCCTCCATGTGGGTCCGCAAGGCGCTGCCCTTGCTAGTGGCCACGTCTTTGTTGCGCAGCAGTACCACCATGGCAAACGTCGCGATGACCCTGAGGCGGAGGAGGAGGGGTAGGGGGATGAGGAGGAGGAGGAGGAGGAGGAGGAGGAGAAGGAAGGGCAGGAGGAAGAGGAGGAGGAGGAGGAGGAGGAGGGGGAGGAGGAGCAGGAGGAGGGGGAGGAGGAGGAGAAGGAGGAGGAGGAAGCAGAAGAACGCCCGGGAGGAAGGGAGGGGAGACAGCGGCGGTGGGGGCAGGAGGCGGGGGAGAAGCAGGCGGGGGAGCGGAGGAGGAGGAGGAAGAGGAGGGGGGAGAGGAAAGAAGGGGGAGAAGGAGGGCGATAGGGGAGCATGGGCATAGGGCATAGCAGCAACATGGCCCGAGAAGGAGATTGAGGACGTCAAGGACGCCAAGGGAGGGATAAACGGTTGGAGGAGGAGGAGGAGGAGGACGACGATGACAACGACGAGGAGAGGGAGGGGCAGGAGGACAGGAGGAGGAGAGGGGGGAGGAGAGGGAGGAGCAGGAGAAGGAGGAGGAGGAGGAGGAGGGCGCGGGGCAGGAGGAGGGAGAACATGAGGGGGAAGAGGAGGAGGAGGAGGAAGAGAAGGAGGAGGAGGTGACTGTTTTCGTCGGCAGAGGTCATTTCACTGTCTGATCGGCCTCCTCCGCCTTCTCTTTTTTGTGCTTGTAGCCCCACATGTCTTGAGTATCATCATCATTGGCACCGCAGCGAGTGGTGATCGTCTTGACTTGGAGGGCGTCAATCATGATCCATGGTTCATGATATTGGGTTTGCAATTGCAGGGCGCAGTCGGCGATGGAACTATGGTCTATGGTGCAGCGATGCACGGGCTGGCTGTCGTCGCAACAACCAGCCCGTGCATCGGCACTCCATAGTCCATGGCCCATGGCCGCATGCACCCACTTGAGGAATCAGCGGCTCCCCCCCCTTCACACAACATCCCATGTCACCTCGCTGAGCGCACTCTCGACAGCCTTCTGCTTCTTGGCCAACTCCGCGCTGCTGCTCGCCTTGCGGTTCAAGTGCTCGACGAACTTGGTCTCCTGAGCCTCGGAGGGGATAGCCTTGAGAGCCGCCACCATTTCAGTCGCCTTCTCATCCAAAGCGACCACGGGCTTCTCAATCCGATCTTTGAAGACTTCCAAGAGGATCAGCCGCCCGAACGATGCTGCTTCCAACCACTTATTCTTCTCAGTCTGGTCAATTAGAGTATCGGGGAGGTCAGGCGTATTCTGCTTGATGAGGCCAGCTGCCTGGAGCCCGGAGCAGATGTTCTTCTCGGAGTCGCGGACCTTCGCCTTGAAAAAGAGCTGTCCAGTAGATTGTTGGTCCATGCCTGCCGCGTCTGACTTCGCTGCCCTCAGGCTGCGAAGTGCGCCCCCTAAAATGCGAATGGACAACACCAGATCCGAGAACTCCTTCGGGACGTGCGATTTCGCCAGGATGCTCTCGAAGTCCTGGAACGCACGCGGGGCTTCGGTCGAGTCGTTGATAGCGCTGAGCTCACCAGCAATGGCATTGCTCAGATCCTGGCCGCCCTGGGCTTCCAAATCCTCGACGCACTCCTTGGCCCTGGATGCCACTTTCGCATCGAACTCCACGGCCAGCTCTTCCAGAACCGATGCAGGAGGATGAGGAGGAGGAGGAGGAGGAGAAGGAGCGGGGATGAGGAGCAGGAGAAGTAATATGTAATATGACTCAAATTGCTTCTCCTCCTCCTCCTATTATATGATGAGTGATGAGTGATGAGTTTGAGAAGCATAGGTCGTAGGATCAGGGAACCCCGAAGTTGGTCAGCTCAGTCTTTTTGAAGTCCTTGGCAATCTCACCAGTGACGACAGCGGGCAAATTAGCTGATTTGGAAACGGCCTGCCTGATGGTGCCAGAAAACCTCCGAGCAACCACCGAGAAGGACTTCACAAGGTCCTCATCATCCTTGCCATTGCCCTCAACGCTCTGGGCCAGCGCCTCCAGGTGACGTCCTGGGCAAGAATAGCGGGAGGAGGGCGGGGAGGGGCAGGAGGGGGGAGAGAAGAAAGCGACGTGAAGTGAGTGAGGACGCGTTTGGGGTTAGAACATAGACCGCCCCCCCCCTCCAAAGGATATTCTGGGCCGTTTATTCACGACGCGCCCCTCGCTGGAAGCTCGCGGCAAAGAGGGCCGCCAGGGAATGGCCGAAGCGCGCGGCAGGGAAGGTGAGAGGTCGGCGGCCCTCCTTCCTCGCCTGCATCTCCTTCCTCCTCCTCCTCGGCTGTTCCTCCTTCTCCCTATCCCCCTCCTCTTCCTCCTCCTCCGCCTCTTCATCAATGCGCCAAGTTTGGTTCAAACGCCCACTCGTCCGTCTTCAAGCTTGCTCAAGACCTCATCCAACAGAGACTCCGCGAACGCGTTCTGTTCCACCGCCGGGCACGCTGCCTGAAGCAAAACAGACATAACACATAACACATAACCACATAACCACATAACACAGAACACATAACATAATGGAATGCTCAGGTCGGGGAAGGACGAAACAGGGCGACGCGTTTTCCCGATGACCGATGACGGATGAAGAATACAGAATACAAGACATTCGCCCAATGATTGATCAGGCAAGAGAAGGGAAGCTCGCTCCCCTTGCAAATCCCGCCAACGCAAGTCAGCCATCTCAGCAATACGAGCAATCACCTTACACGCACAGCACAGGATTGGCAAGTGGCAGCGGCGCTTGACCACGCATCCATGGTGCATTTCAGGAAGAGAAAACAGTGCATGAGTCTGGGGGGAAGTTGATGCGATGGCCCGCGTGCCTTAAAGGTATCGGTGAGAACAGTCTTGAAGGAGTGCATGAGCCGCAACTTGAGGAACGCCTGGAACTGCCGCCTCGCAGCAACCGTCCTTGCATGGATCGTTGTCGGGGCCTCCTTCGCAGAGTGCAAGTTCTTGAGCTCTGAGGAGATCTCGTCAATGTCCCGGATCCCTGGCTTGCTCAGCAGGGAGCTCACGGCGTTCATGTCGAGCGGCGGGTCGATCTTCGCGGAGATGGCGCCCAGCTTGGCCTCGAACATCTCCTCGTCTTTCCTGAGCGTCTTCTGCGCCAAGGCGAATTCAACCAGCTCTGAACCCACAGGTGTGTTGGCCAGAATGTGTATCGTGGGATCTACATGGCCAGCCGCTGTCTCCTGGTCTAAGCATGAAATCAAACTGAGGACAGTAAAGGCGAAATGGACCACTGGTGAAAATTGGTCCGCTTTGCGAACCGAACACGACCCGATTGCACCTCGTTTTCCCGTGCCCGGACCCAGCTCCAGAGCTGGAGCTGCTGATTTTCAAGCTTTTGTCTCCCACTCGCTTTCCTCCACCCCCTCCTTCTCCGCCCGCGCGCGCGGGGAAAATTCCGCCCTACTGTCTGGAACACGTCATCCTCCATTTCGTGATCACGGATCCTTCCCTTCCTCATCTTCCTCCTTCACCTCCTCCTCCTCCCCATCCTCGTCCAGTGTGCCACTGACATTTGGAAGTGACTGTGGCAGTTAGTTGTTGCATGGGTCCCCAGGTTCCTCCTTTGCAGATTTGACAATGTCCAATGCATCTGCCAGTTCCGCCAGGGGAGCCGTCTGCGCCTGGATAATGGCGCTGACGACCTCGGACGAGAACGAAAACAAAGTGATTGACAAGACCCGAGCGCTCTCATGACGAGCGTTTCTGGGAAGGTACCTGGGCCCAACACATTCAAACTCCAAGCTTGGATCCGACCCCCGCCGGCGATGGGCGATGGGAGAACGCGGCGGCCAGTCCCTCGCGAGAAGTCGCGGGGGGGGCCTCGAGAAGGGGGGCGGGCAATTGGCGCCCACGCCCCTGCCCGAGCCCCCGCCCCACGTCGCACCCTCGGGGCCCGCGGAGTTTCACCCTGCTTGACCTTGCGTTGATGCAAGAAGGCGGCGGCCAAGAAATTCTCGTTCTTCAGGGCGGTTTGGATGACGTCCAAGAACTCGATCGCCTCCTGCTTCGCTTTCTCGCCAGACTTCGTGGTGTGGTTGTCAGGGATTGCCTGGATAATCGAGCTCGTTGCCTTCTCGACCAAGTCCATCGCAAACTCCTTCATGTTGGTCCGGTCGATGCCCACCTTGCGAAGCTCTTCGAATTCAGGAGACGCCGCAAACAACATCTGGGCAAACTCGATGAACTTCCCATACCGGAGGTTGAGATCTTGGCGTGCACGAACAAGCTCGGACCGAATGAAACTGTTGAGCGTAATGCCGGCCTTATCACACGCGTCTACTTTCTCGATGATGTCATTTTGCGTCACAGACCCTTTGGCGTTGCCGCTGAGCACCATGGCGACGTCTTTGACGGCCGTCCCGATAGTATCCAAGAGAGTGAGCTTCTCCTTCTCCTCTGACAAAGCAATCTTGTTGGTGCTCTTGTCCAACCGCACGGTCTCCTTCTTGACCTCCCTTCCCGCCCACAAGCGCGCGACTGACGCAGATGCTACGCTTGACAGATTACCCTGCGGATCTGCGTGGTAGGCCTTAGCACAGCGAGTCAATGCCTGAACCCTCGAACTCAAACCAAAAAATGCGACCAGGGGCGGCCCCGGGAAGGGAGGGGGGGGCGTGGGCCACGAGCGCGGCAAGAGCACAAACCACCGCGAGCCAGACCCCAACGCAAGCCCCGAGAAGGCGCCAAGACTGGCCGCACAGATGGCCCAAGATGGCAAAGGCCCCTTTCCTCTGAAGATCCTATATCCTATATGGTAACATGGCCACCTCGAAGCAAACATCGCTGTTTGGCGGAACTGGCGATGCACCTGGCGCTGGTAACACGGCCTTTGGATCGTGACAGATATCTCAGGTTGTGTAGATTTGCTTGGAGTGTGCAACTGACATTGTGGGATGCTGTTGCCGGTGCCTCGGGCTGCCCTTCCGACAGAACATCCGATGGGGGCCGACAAAGCCAGGCTGAGTTTACAGTCGCAGTCACCTGAGGTGCGATCCACTGCACGAATCACTAGGCGACCCTAATTCACCGTTTCCGTTTAGTTGCCCTACAGGAAAGGAAAACCATGTTGGACATGGAAAAGTTCACCAGGGGCACCAAAGACGGCTGCTGTGACCCGCGCATCAATGCGTTTGCACGTCCCTTCCCCCCCCCCCCCCACCCCACCCCACCCACCCACCCCACCCCCCGCCCCGCCCTCCCGAAGCCACCCCACTACCAACCACCCACACCTAAGCACCACAACTACACATACACACAACCACACACACACACGCCACGCACGCCCGCAACGCACGCCGCCGCGCCGCCGAGACCGCACGCACACACACACACACACACCACACACACACACACAAACTCGCACCACACACACGACCACACCACACCACCACACACACACACACACGACCCACACACAAAACACCACCAACACCAAAAAAACCACACCACCCCCACCGACCCCCCCCCCCCCGCCCCCCCCCCCCCCCCCCTCCCACCCCACGCCCCCCCCGCACCCGCCCACCATCCAACGATCCCCCCCCCCCTGCCCACCCCCCGCCCCCCCCCCCCTGCCCCCGCGCCTTCCCGCGCGCCCGCCACCCGCTCGCGCGCGCGACACGACACGCAACACACACACACACAAACACAACACACACACCAACACACACACAGCACACACGACACACATACCACCGCAACACACACACACACACAACACACACACACACACACACAGCGAACACACACACCGCATACACACACTACACACACGCACACACACAAACGGACACACACACACACACACACACGCACACACACGCAGACTCACAGCATTAGACATACAACATACAGTAACATACACACACGCATACACTTCCCCCCACCCCAACCCACACCGCCCCCAAACCCACCCGCGCGCCCCACGCCCCCGCCCAACCCCACCCCACCCCACAGCACCGCCACAAACAGGGGGGAAGCGGTGGTGGCTGTGGCATTGCTCGCGGTGGTCTGCGCGCGCGCGCGGCGGGCGGGGTTGGGCGCGGCGGGCGGGGCGGCCTTTTTTTTTTGTTGAAGGGGTGCGGGGGTGGGGTGGTGTTGGTGGGGGGGGTGGGGGGGGGGGGGGGGGGGGGGTGGCGCGCAGCGCGTGCGTGCGCGTGCGGTGCACTGCGCGCATCGTTGTCGTGTGGCGGGGCGGGAAGGGGGGGGGTGGGGGGGGGTGGGGGGGGGGGGGGCGGGGAGGGGTGGGGGGGGGGAGGGGTTGGTGGGTGGGGGCGCGCGTGCGCGCGCGTGGCGGGCGGGCACTGTAAAAGCGCGCCGCGCGCGTCTGCGCGAAGTAAGGGAGCGGTGGTGCATAGGGAAAGAATGTGGGGGGGGGGGGGGGGGGGGGATGGAGGGAGGGAATGAGGGGACGGGAGGTGAAGGGAGGGAGAGAGAGAGAGAGAGAGAGATAGAGATATGGAGCGAGAGACACTAATAATGGAGAGGGAGTAGAGAGAGAGAGAGGGAGAGATAGAGAAAGAAAAGAGAGAAGAGATGGAGAGAGAGACAGAGAGAGAGAGAGAGATAGAGAGAGAAGAGGGAGAGAAAGAGAGGAGAGAGCGGGACGGGAGGGAGAGAGAGGGAAGGAGATCGAGAGAGAGAGAGAGAGAGAGAGAGAGAGAAAGAGAGAGAGAGAGAGAGAGGGAGAGAGAGGGAGAGGGAGAGAGAGATAGTGAGAGAGAGAGGGACAGGGAGAGAGAGAGCGCGCGCGCGGGGGGCAGGACAGGAAAGCGCGAGCGCCGCGCGCGCGCGAGCGAGCTGGACCACGCGCGCGCGGGAAGGGAGGGGAGGGGCGCGCGAAGAGTGAGAGCGCGCGCGTGTATATGAGAGCGGGCCAGCGCGCGCGTGAGATGCAAACGCACGCGCACACGCGCGCGCGCACGCGCGCGCACGCGCATGCACTCCCCCCATCCCACGGCGCAGTGAGGCCAAGGAACGGCCGAACCCTTCCCCAAGCGGCGTTCTGCCACGATCTGCTCGGAGCGATTCGACCCTCGTGCCCTCTGCCGAACCGCCGAGGAACGCCCGCCCCCCCCCCCCGCCGCCGAAGAATCGAACGCAGACGGGCAGCCTGCGAACAACGAGCTGGGAACGCCAGGGTCTCGGGCTAGGAACTGGGCCTCAACGCGAACGCGTTCGGCCCCGCGCGCTGACCTCCGCTCGCGCCTCGCAGGGAACGCCGAGGGCTCGCGCGGGGGACCGAGCCTCAACGCGACCCCTTGCCGATTCGGTTCCGCGCGCAGGCACCGCTTCGCGCCGCGCAAGGAACGCCAGGGGCTCGCGTGGGGGACCGGGCCCCAGCGCGACAGCTTGCCGATCCGGCCGCGCGCGCGAGCCCCGAATCACATCCCGCAGAGAAAACAAGGAGCCCGCGCACGGAACGCAACCCGCATTGAGTATATATTATATTATTTCATTACATAAATATGCGAATATGCGCATACAGGCGCACGATCTAGATATGTACATCTATATATCTGTATTCTATATAATATAGTATATAGAGAGAACGTTTTTGAACAGCGCAGCACTGAACGCGCCACCATCAACACACGAATCCAGCACGCCATGCTGGGAAGCATTTCGCCGTGGAGGGCTCGCTTGAGGCCCCAGGCAAACGTGGCAACAGTGCGAGCGTTGGCGCTGCCATACTCCACGCGCGCGCGGGTGACGCGCGTCGCTGGCGCGCGCGGCTCGCACATTTAATTTCCGCACCGTTCACCTTGCGCTTGTGCGATGAAAGACATGTTAACTTCAAAATCCGATCGCTCACCGTTAAGAGTTCACCTTAGTTTCCAGGCCAGCATGGTGGTCCTTCAATTGTGGATAATGCGCAACTCGCCACGCCCGCGTCATCGCGCGCGCGCGCGGTAGGGTGACCCACGCGCGGGGCGTTCCACCCGAAATACCGCTGGCCACAATTAAAATTTCATGTTCGGTCCCAGGCCGACTTTGCTACCGTTCTATATTTGAAAACGCTGGAAAAACGCATGTTAACTCCAAAATCCAATCGGTCACCGTTAAGTGTTCACTTTAGTTTCCAGGCCAACATGGCGACTTTTCCATTGTGGATAATGCGAAACTCGCCACGCGCGCGCTTACCTTTCTACATGTGAAAACGCTGAGAAAAAAAACGCATGTTAACTTCAAAAAATCCCATCGGTCACCATTAAGTGTTCACTTTAGTTTCCAGGCCAACATGGCGACTTTTCCATTGTGGGCAATGCGAAACTCGCCACGCGCGCCCGCGCCTACCTTTCTATATTGGATATATTTGACAACGCAGAAAACGCATGTTAACTCAAAAATCCAATCGGTCACCGTTAAGTGTTCACTTTAGTTTCCAGGCCAACATGGCGACTTTTCCATTGTGGATAATGCGAAACTCGCCACGCGCGCGCCTACCTTTCTATATGTAAAAACGCTGGAAAAAAAACGCATGTTAACTTCAAAATCAAATCGGCAACCATTAAGTGTTCACTTTAGTTTCCAGGCCATCATGGCGACTTTTCCATTGTGGATAGTGCGAAACTCGCCACGCGCGCGCGCGCCTACCTTTCTATATTGTATATTTGGCAACACAGAAAACGCATGTTAACTCCCAAATCTAATCGGTCACCGTTAAGTGTTCACTTTAGTTTCCAGGCCAACATGGCGACTTTTCCATTGTGGATAATGCGAAACTCGCAAAGGCCACGTCCGCGCGCGCGCACGCATTATCCACAATGGAAAAATCGCCATGCTGGCCTGGAAATTAAAGTGAACCCTTAACGATGACCGATCGGATTTTGAAGTTAACATGCGTCTTTTATGCGTTTTCAAATATAGAAAGGTAAGCGCGCGCGTGGCTAGTTTCGCATTATCATCAATGGAAGTCGCCATGTTGGCCTGGAATTGACCGTGATACCCTTAACTGTGACAATTTGGATTTGGGGGTTAACATGCGTGTCTAACATTCTCATACATATCAGAGATATGACATGACTGAAAATGAACGATCGGCATTGGAGCGAGTTAATGCGATGCGCGATGCGCGTTTTTCCATCCCCTCTCAGATTGTCTCCTCCTCTTCTCCTTCCACCCCTTCGCTCCCCCCGCGCCCCCCTGCCCCCCCCGCCCGCGCGCGGCCTGCGGGATGGGCGGGTGATCCAGCGAGGGGCTGGACCTCAATGGCACCGCCTCTGGATTCGGACTCGGGCGGAAGCTCCGACGCGCGCCCCGCGAGGAAGGGCCGCGCCCGAGCAGGGCGCTGGGCCCCGACGCGACCAGCGACGCATCGCGTCGAGCCAGCGAGTTCCGAACCGCGCGGCCTCGGGAACGGGGGGCGCCCCTGCGAGGGAATTGGCTGCAATCTCCCGCGCCTTGACGCGTGGACAAGGGCGAAAGCCCCAACGCGCGCCCCGCAAGCAACGGGAAG